TTAATAACATAAAAATCCATTTTTGAACTCACTCATAATTTATTTTCTCTTAGCCGGCTGTGCGATTATGTCGCTTGGAGTGGCTGGTGATCCGAGTTTTGAGAAGGAGATGCAATTGCTGACAAAACAGAAATGCTCTGTGCAATCCTACGACAAAGTGAGGGGACTTATTAAAAATTTCATTTTGATTTTTACTCTAATCTAGAGAGATAGAAAATAAAAATTTCCAGAGAGATCCTGGGCCGGTGATTGAAGGGATGGAAAAGATTAACGCTTTCTTTACGAAGGCTCTCATTTCAGTGAGAGATGATCCCGAGGTTGGTGGCGAACATTTACAGACGATCTTGTGGTTAGCCTTGAAAATCAGCAGATTTAACACATTCGCGACAATGCGCCTCACCGGTGGGTCGCACGGTTTTCTCGGTAGTCCCGGTTTCTCGACAAAATCATCTAAAAATGGCACTTTGCGGTTTTTGGAGATGGAGACTCCGAATTCGGCATTGTTTTTCCCCTCAAGTATCTCTAAAACACTCTAAAACACTTTGTGCCGATACTCTCAAAGTTGGGATACAAATTTTTAGCGACAAACCCAAAAAAATGGCTTTGTCGCGAATGTGTACTACAATCGAACCCTGTTAATGACCTATAGACGGGATCCCGGAAAAACCGTTCACTAAAGAGATTTTGCCTTATAAAGCGCCAAAAACACTTAGATTTTACTCTTAAACATGTTTTTCGTAGTAAAGTAGTATTTCTAACCAAAAAGCACGTCTAGAAGATGTTAAACAATAAATTTCAATGGAAAAATGAGGTTGGGTAAAAAGACAGAACCTCATTAGTGACTAAACCTAACGACCACTTGATAGTGGCTTTTCAGAGCTCCTCAAAGATAAAAACGAACTTATCTATAACTACTTGTGAGCTATGTTAATATTATAGCAGAATTTTTCAGTCCCCTTCAATAGTTCTAACGAGTTCACTAATAGTTCCTCGTCTAATAAAGTATACCTAATCTCCCCAGTTTCACAGTGATTCCAAATCAATCACTACCAAATCTGTTCTAAAATGGTATAAGCTAAACATTGAGAGTCATTGGAAGAGGGAATTTAAACGATAACAGAGTTGCCTTTCGGTTTATTGGCTAAGTATTTTAGAGAAACATTTTTTCATTCAAATTTTTTGCAAGTTTACAATGCAAATTGCCATAGTTTACTAACGAGATTCAAAATGGTTCATTTTGACATTATAGGGTTTTGTAATATCCGGTCACTCTAGGTTTTTGCTAACGTAATTTATAAGGCGGACGTTCATGAAGGTCCCAAAAATCGGTCACTATCGAGGTAGTCACTAACGAGATTTGACTGTACTTGATTACTTGACTTGATCCAGCTTTCTGTTAAATTCAGAATAACATTCGCAGCATTCAAGGAGAGATGAAACGATTGAACATCGACAGAATCGAGATTTTGAAGATCGATATTGAGGGTTGGTTTGGGGATTTTGCTAGCTGAGTTTATTTCGAAATTTTGACCTGAAACTTAACCTTTTTGCTCTCACTTGTTGACAACAATTTTCTTCTCGTTTAGGTTCTGAATTTTCCGTGATTCCCGAATTGATTTCAGTGGTCGATATTTGTCAGGTGACTAATCAAAAAGAGAACATTTTTTAGTCTTATAATCTCGAAAACAATCAATTTGGACACAAAAATGACGTTGTTTCCAAACTTTTGGTTCCATATGGTACACCTGGATCCAAATAAAACGAAATTTTTAGATTCTAATCGAAATTCACGGTAAACCGAAGAAAGTCATCGAGCTGATTTCGGAAATGGCAAGGAAAGGGTAAAAAGTTTTTGCAATTAACAAAAGAAAACATCGTGAAATTAGAAAATTCATCATCAATTCTTCATTGTTTCAAAAGAGTCCAAAAAACGTATACGATAAATACTGTAATAGTTCCCCACGTTGACCTTGCATAGTCTAGCTTTGAACGTCTTTTTCTCGACACTGGTTTATGCTACAATGCGCGTTTAGGTATCAAAAAATAGCTGAAATTCAGCGCTATTTTTTTGATACCAAAGAAGCATTTTTGAAAGTAAGGACACTTTGAAAAAAAATGAAATACTGGAAAACTTTGAGACTACGCAAATTTCTGTGCACAGCGCAACCCTATTCTCCAATAATGGAAAGATTACGGTAATTGTCAAGCGATTTTCAGTTATCGAATCTTTTCCTACGAGATCAATGGTGCATGGCATCATTTGAGTGAATATTCATTCATTCACGAGTCATGTATCGAACAATACGAAGCGACTCCGTTGGATTATTACTGGCATTTGGTCTGATTGGAAACCCAAAAGGAATCATTATGAGCAGTTTTTGTTTTTGTTTTTGTTTTTTGTTTTGTTTGTTTTTCTGTAGATTAGGACAATTTACTTGAATGTGAACGATAAAAAAATAGAAAAATAGAAGTTCTATATGATTTTCTCGATTGAATCTTTCTCAATGTTAAAACAAAGCTCTTCTCGGTGGTAAAAGATGAATTTTGAAAAGAATTGAAAAGAAAGGAATCATTATAAGCAGTTTTTTTTAAATTTCTGTAGACTAGTATAATTTATTTGAATGTGAACGAAAAAAAAATAGAACGCTATATGATTTTCTCGGTCAAACCTTCTCAATGTGAAAACAAAGATCTTCTCGGTGGTAAAAGATGAATTTTGAAAAGAACACACACATTTGGATCTCATCGTTTGGATTTGGATATTTATTTTGTTTCTTTTCCGAGAAAGTCGTTTAAGATAACGGCCAATGTGTGATGATTTTTATTAAACATAAAATTAAATTTATGGGCTTTATAAGTTTTTTTTATGAAAAAGTGTTGCTTGGCCAGATTATAGATGATTATAGATAGGTCAAAAATAGATTTTATTATAGATAGATTTAAAATAGATTTAAAAGTAGATTCTATTTTTTGATTCGATTTTAACCGATCAAAACTTTACTATCGTTTTTGGTGCACAAGCCCAGTCATCGGGCTTTGGTTGACGGCATGTTTGTCCATCCGGGTAATAGCCGTACTTTATCGTTCTATTCAACTGAACGAGTTCAATGTTTATTTAATATTTTGTGTCTTGGACATCTACAGTCATGCGCAAAAGTATTGGCCCCTCCCATTGTTCAAATTTAAAACGCAAAAAAGTTCACTTTGTTAAATGATTCAAGAAAACTTTCAATGGTTGTTATACAGTATTTTAGTTCTAGTTTTCAAAAAAGGTAACAACAATTTATTTCCGAGCAACAATATAAAAAAGCATGCAAGGAGAAAATGACGCAAAAAATGTGTGCAAAAATATTGGCCCTGAAGTGAAAACTGAAATATTTAATATTTTGTCGGGCCTCCCTTGGCTGAAATCACTGCTTGAATCCTTTTTGGCATGCTATCGACCCAATCGTTCAAGATTTGTGAAGAAATTTCATTTCGATTTCATCCCAAGCTTTCTGAAGGGATTTCTTAAGTGAATCGAGCCTAAGCTTTCATTTTGAGATGTTTTTTCACTATCCGACCCATTCCACCTCATCCGACCCATTCCACCTCATCCGACCCATTCCACCTCATCCGACCCATTCCACCTCATCCGACCCATTCCACCTCATCCGACCCATTCCACCTCATCCGACCCATTCCACCTCATCCGACCCATTCCACCTCATCCGACCCATTCCACCTCATCCGACCCATTCCACCTCATCCGACCCATTCCACCTCATCCGACCCATTCCACCTCATCCGACCCATTCCACCTCATCCGACCTATTCCACCTCATCCGACCCATTCCACCTCATCCGACCCATTCCACCTCATCCGACCCATTCCACCTCATCCGACCCATTCCACCAAATCCCTTGCTATTTTCCTCTGAGAACGGGTGTTCTTGTATCAGAAGCGGTCACGCACTCTCTTGATGTTACTCGGCGTCGTTATTGTAATCTTTCTTTCACGTCCCGCTCGATCAGAATTTGTGCTTTGAAACGATTGACTGTATCGTAAAGAATTGATTTTGGAGTCATTAATTGTCGAGAAATATCAAGTGGAGCGATTTCCTTTTGATGCAGGTTGATGATCGACTCTCTATGTATCGATTTCTGGATCATTCTAAAATTTTGCTTATTAGTACATATAAAACATACGGAAAACAATCAACAACCATGGAATCAATAGAAAAATATAAAACGATTACAAATAATTTGTTACGCAGGCAAAAAACTACTGCCGAAGATCATGCACCCTATTCCGGGTAATCTTGGGACACCCTGTATATAAACCCTTCTGTGATTTAACAAATATTTTGCCTGAACCAAGGGATAGAAATACATCTCATCCCGAACTGCCACGAAAAAAAGATGGTAAGATAAGAGAAAAGAGAGCAATGACGAAAGCGGAGCCGCTTGCACAAGAAAATTCTTATTGATTCATTTGCCGCCACTTTCCAAAAACAATGGACCACTTTAGCATTAACTTATTACCCCTAATTCTTCAAGATTCCCTTTACGAACATGTAAATATTCTCGATTCATTGAAATTCATGAAAGTTTCTCAAAAGTCTCGTCAAAGGATTTTAATGGAAGGACCGTTTGGGAAAAATATTGGCAGTATGACGATTAAAGGAATTTTTGAAAGAAATCAAACGGGCAACCTGTTTATTCCAGACTTGAGTATTCTCATTGAGCCACGTAATTCTCTCGATTACAAAGAAAAAATAAATTTCATCACGAAAAATTCCCGTCTTCTGCAATTCTGCTGGGGCAGGCTTCGAATCAAACCAAAAAACTGGCAGCTATTTGAAAAGATTCGTTTTTGTAAATGTTTGAAGCTTGATTTTTTTGAGAAAACCAACGTTGAGAAAAGTGGGCGACAATGTCGACTCAACTTTTTGCCAAACATTAAAATTCTGAGGAATTTTTCTATCTCAATCAACAAACTATCGACTTTTTGCGTGATTATGGCGAATTTCCGATCGACGGTTTGTCAAAAATTCTCAATAAATGCAAGGAGCATTGATTTTTTTGGTGAATCGGCTCAAATGGAGGGAGAAGAGGTGTTTTCACGAATTATTTCAAAGCCACAGATCCGTGATTGTCCAATTTTCGCCTGTACACCGGTGGAAACATTTTGGAGATCGATGTCAACAATCAAACCTAAAATTTTGTTAACAAAAAGGGTAACTTGGATATATTTCGAAGAGTCTCTAAATTTCGTGCTAGAGAATCGAATTGACAAAGATGATAAGACGATAGTCGGCGTTGTTGGTGGAAATCAACAAAGTGGAAAGGACTCCGAATTAGTAGATCTGATAAAGGAAAAACTCTTGAGAAGGTATTCCCTTATCGAAGTGAAAGCTCGAACGTTGAAGGGAAGAAAACTATTCAAACAGCTGAATGCTCGAATGCCGGAGAAAAATATTGAAGTTCTATCTGACGACTTCCCCGGAGATCACCTTCAGAAAAGACTCCTTTTCAAAAACGATCACTTTCTCTACATGATAGCTTTCTTTTCAAGTCATACTTTACTTTTGTGGCAGCTCCTTTAAAATATTGTTGAAGTAAATAATAAAAGTTTAAAGTGACATGTGAATTTATAAAGATATCCATGCTCTTTTTTTGAGTTCTTTTGATGTCTCAAGTCAGGCCCGTAGACAGGATTTTGGTGTTTTTGGGAGAATCGCTAGAGCTTCGTCCAGAAGCGACGAATCAATTTACACCCAAAGCTGAAAATTTAACAAAATCTTCAGGCTACATCATGGCTACAATGAAATTTTTCTAAAATGAAATTTTGCATTTTTGTGAGAAAATTTGGGGGGTTGAGGTTTTAGACCTTTAGCCGTTATCCAGGAAATTTCTAACCACCGCCAATCGATTCTCCGTGTTGGTTTACATAGGACAAGTGAGTTACAAATCTGATTTAATGCTTGTGGAGCAGGCTAGAGGGGGGTTCAAAGTCAGGTTGTCACGACTATTTTGCGCCTCTGCCCAACTTTGAGCCCCTCTAAGCTCTGAGAGCGAATGAATGACATTCATGGAGATAAATATCCAAAACTCGTTAAACATCACAGATCGCAAAAATAGAAACAACACAGTAATTTTATGTTTAGTTGTGCAAAAATCTGGTCATGCGATCTTCAAAAGATCAAGTACATTCAATAATGAGTAGTTATGTTGGAAAGCAATTTGGAAGTTATGGCTTTTCGGGTTGGTTCCGTCTAGGACAGGAAAAACGTTTCCATTTTTGTCCACAATAATGTCTCTCGTTGAAACAATTAAGATTTATTCGGAAGCCTTTATTGTTTTGTTATGGATCGTCTTTCTATTGGGTTTGTTGGTTTTTTCTTAAAGTAATCCCCCCTAACAACACCGTTCAAATAGAAGTTCAACACTTGACCAAATTCATAAATTAAATACAACAATGAGCTTTTCCTTAAACCCTTGCCTTTCTGACTCAATTTGGCCATAGACTCCCATAAAAAGGAATATTTCCAAGCGATTTCCCGACTCCGGAATCCCCGGGTACAAATTTACAGCTCAATATCTTCTTTTTTGTAACATTTACAATGCAAAAGAAAAATCCCTGTCTAAATGACTGACGAGGTGTTCTTTGTACGGCTGCGTAAGCGCTCTCCATCTGACAAATCGCCTTGGTGCATAAAGTGCTTTGAAAATGTCATCAAAAATTATATTACTACAACCACCGCTGACAATTTGGTTCTAGTGAAAATCAGTCCTAATTCAGACTTCTCCATTAAAGTAATATGGGTGTTTGCTGTGGATCAGTAATATAAATAGTATCAATGTTTCTTTCTTGAAATGAGCAAATAACATTTAAACAGGACTCAACGGTTTGCTGACATTCATCGCGGATTTGAACTGGTCAATCTACGACCTCTTGCTGGAATGGAAGATCATCTCCGATAGCTCACCGCCCGACTTTGATCTTGAATTTCTTTTCGAACTCATTTCTGTCATCGAAAGTGTTACAAAATGGGTATTTTCTGAAACGAAAAATATATCAAAACCTCCATTCAGATCATTTTTGCCTCGGTTTTCCCGACTACAGTAGCGACTTGTTTCGCGGCGACGAACAAGCGGTTAACATGGCCAATTCGGTTTGTTACATGTATTCTTAACTTGAACTAACCCCAAACTCAAAGCTAAAGTTGCTCTTTAGTCTATCCGCTGCTGCTGAAAACATCTGCAAGCTGTTGTTCGCCGTCGACTATTGTTGGCAACAGTTCTGCAATCTCGAAGCGCCATTGTTCAAGTGAGAGCCTTGCCTTTGTAAAGTTTACCAAAGTAGCTTCAGTCATGTTCCAACAACAGTATAGCTTTTGATTAGATAAACTCTAATTATAATTCTAAGGTGCCCTCCCGAAATCGCCACCGGTTTCTTCTATCCACTTTATTCATTAATTCATGGATACTCATTGATGAATGTGGCTAAGTATCATCAAATGATCATTTCATTCAGGTTTTGTTCAAATTCTTTTCACTACTTTGAGTTTAGTCGTTTCTTTGCGATAGCCTTTGATGGACTTCACTTCCGGAAAACTCTGAAATGGCCTATCGCTCAACTCTTGCTTCCCTACTTCTTGGAGCTAGGGCTTATCAAATTGGATACTCTATTCAAATGTGAAAATATCGGCTGTACAATCGGCCAAAAGTCTATCAGCAATTTGCCCTATTTTTTCGCATGTGGATTGGATTTTGTGACTAGGAAGAGAATGGTACAGGTAAGAAGGGTGAAAAGAACAAAGTGAGGCATTAGGTATTATACCGTAAATCAAAACTCACATAGTGATGAGTCATAAGCCGAGTCGTTCAAGCTTGGGTTCAACTATTTAGCTTGATAGATAAACCGATAGCCTGAATACAGTTTATCCATAAACAAGCCACGTTCGTATTCTTGTAATCATCGGTAATAGCAAGAACCAGTGTACCAAACTCTCTAACACAAATATTTAGTTAAACAAAACGGGAAAGGTCACTCGCGCCGAAGTGATGCTTATGATTCAGGTAAGTAAAAGATGGGCAAGAGAATAGGCTTGATAGACTAAATAATAATGGACTAGATCGTGATGGACTCATTAGTGATAGACTAAATAGCAAGATCGAATGCTTACAATTAGTTCTTGTTAACTCTTGATTTTACAAAAGTTCAAAGATGCATAAACAGCACATTAACAGCATAGGTTCATTATAAACTTCAGGTTGATCACTTTTAGATGTTATCAAACAGTGGAATGCTCCTTTTGAATACAATCGGCTTCACATTTGTCAAATTTCTCACTCAACTTTTCTTTGGCCCACTTACGGGAGTTTTTCTCTTAGCATTCGAGGAATTTATTCAATATCTGTGCTTTTCTTTACTGTCCAGGTATTTGCAACTGCTAATTTGTTATTAGAAAAACTCGGAAATGAAAAGAAAATGTATTTCCCCTTTAGTGTAATTGCCATGTTCTGTTTTCGGAAGCAACGCTGACTGTACTCTGCGGCAAATAAAACTCACAAAATACGATTCTTTTTGAAAATAAATTGCAAAAGTCGCAAATAACCTTATAGGTACAGTAAAAAGATAAGAAAGTATTTTGGAAAAATTGCAAAACAATCTTTCATTGACTGAACACCTGTTGGCCAATTTTGACATTTTCTCTGCAAAATTTTCTGTACTCGATCAAATTGGAGCTCTTTATTGAAGACATAAAATAAATAAAGGAATTGTTAGAGCTTTGATCGCTTCTCTTTGAAAAACACGACATAAGATAATCTAGATTGAATTCTAATCGGAAACTTTTGAAAACACTTGCGAAACAGTCATCGTGCAGATTTGCCAGAGCATCGTGTTTACAATAAAACCCGCAATTAGATCAAGATAGAAATCCTTTGAAATGAAGACGGATACATTGGGAAGAATGCCGTTGACTAGATTGACAAGCATCTGAAAATCCTAATCTACTATATACAAAAAAAGTAAATTCCGTCCGTCCGTCTGTCACGCCTACGCCACAATACAAATTACGTTAACGTAAAATTACAACGAAGTGAGCTAGAAAGCTGAAAATTTGTACTCGGGGGTTTTCGGGGGCGAGGAATCCGAATCGGGCAAATATGTCGGGAGCTTTTCTAAATTTGATTCAAAAAGAGTTTTACTTTCAAAGACCGTTTACGGTTAAAGCAGCATGCAGGTTAGTTCAAAATACAGTCGAATCTCGTTAGTGAACAGCTCGATAAACTAACATCGATAGTAACTGGATTGTTTAGAATCCTTCTGAATTGATTTAGTACGAATCAAACCTCGATAGTGAACGGTTTTTTAGGATCCCTTCCATGGTTCACTAACGAAGTTCGACTGTATTTACTATCCGTAGAGCTTTTCTCGGCTCTTGGGCAATTTTCGGAACTTTTGGAACCGTTTTCAATGGAATCCATTCATTCTTGCTTTTTGCATTACAGATTATAGATTTTTAAAAATCATCGTCAAATAAGGTCATAAAAGGATCATAAAACTCTCAATTCAAAAGATATCGAAAAGCTAAATGATTCATTTTCATAACCTTTGAAAAGGTTATATAAAAATAGTTGTGGTCCATACATTTGGATGTGATCTATGGACCAAGTAAACACTGAACGGCGAAGACTTTTTTGACGACTGTAATTAATAAACCCTAGTTTGTAATGATCGTGAGAAAAAT